TCGGGGATAATCTCTTGAGATCCAAGATTTAAGTGACTCGGAAAGGTCGATTCAATTTCAAATTTGCCGCGCTTTATGTGCAATTTTTTTCTGAGAAATTGTTTGAAATTTCTGCGAATATTCGTTGACTGTCGAGTTTGGAACAGTTAAATTTATCGATAGCGAGATATCTTAATATTTCTAATATTTCAAAATTTAAGGGACTCGGAAAGTTCGATCCAATTTCAAATTTACTGCGCTTCACGTGCAATTTTTCTCCGAGAGATCGTTGTAGTAAGCTATAAATTTCCAATATTTTTTGACTAAACGCAAATATCTTTAAAATTACTGCATTTTTGAAGTGCTGTCAAATTTTAATTGGTGTGGCGTACATAACAATCTTCTGTGGAAGACAAATCATATCGTATTTAAATTAAATTAAAGTTGGACAACTTAAAGTTAATTTATCTGAAATTGATCTGTTAATTGCAGAGTTTACAAAAGATACTTTTACAATAAAAGATATCCTTGTTCCTGGAAAATACTTTTAGCATGGAAACTATGAACAATTCACGAGGAAGTGAATATATAAAATTTTGTTGGTACAGGTTTCTGTACTTAGTACGAGAAGCACGAAGTACGTATACAAGACACACACGCGTTACAAATAAAACGGCGAGATTTCGAAACAGGATTGACAACCTCGGACGACATGTTCATAAAGCTGTCATAACTTGATGTAACTAAACAGTATGAACGATCAATTTTCATTAGTTCCAAGCTAGATTTACGAGCTAGATTTATACTATTCGCAAAGAATTTAATTCAATTATTCGACGTAATCATCGATAGACAGATTTCCAATAGAATTATTCGTTGAATGACACAATTTAAAAAAATTTGACAAACCCTACTCTTCTGAAATTCTGAAAGACATACAATAGAAATAGTATGAATTTTTAAATCTACACATGTCCTCACGAAGAGGAAAAGGTCCTTGATATTTTGTAAAAAAAATTCCACGGTTCAGTTTTCTCTAAAAGTAACCTAAATCTCTCTAAAGCTGAAGAAACGAATTTTAGATTATAGATAAAAGTTTAAAAATACCAGAATAAAGTCAAAAGTATAATGGGTAATTCGTCTTTGTGAAATAGATAGATAAATAGGTAACAAAGTTTATCCAAAAAACGATTCAAAACGATCCAAAAGAAATTGTAATTCAACCAACAAAATTATTAGTCACTGATGTTTCCTCGAAACATTGTAAAGTGGCTCATTCTTCGTCCAAGCGAAGCCCAAAATCAAGGGAAATGACAGAAACCGAACGCTCTTCGTTAATCAGTCGTTAATAGCGTGCAGGAAGTACAAGCTGGTGTGACACAGCCAGCAGACGCGTTATTCACTCGTTTGCTATCGGAAGAAAAGTCGGCGTATAAACTCGAAGAGCCGCACCGGCGGGGTTACAAAACAGGATCGACAAGCGGACTTGCACTGGCGCTCATAATATTGTCATAATATCCACCTGCGCGGACAAGACACGTTCAAGCGGCCAGTGCAGAGGAGCGGCTGGGATAGTTTCAGCTGCGGTTGCAAGAAGAGCGAGTCAAAGTACACCGGCAGGCTCGTGACGAACGATCGCAATCTACTTTGATCTCGATCCGCTTTTCTATGGCCTCGACGCGACCCGAACACGGATCCTGACCTCCGTTAACCTGGTATCTCTGACCTCGACGATCGAACCTGTCCTCGCGACACGCTCCTCGTCGATTGAATTCTCGAGAGATACTCGGCGAAATTCTAGATTCAACCGGGCGATGAAATTCACGTTTCGAAAATTCGAAACTCGCACGAGTACAATGAAAAGCGTCTTTCTTTAGTGTTTTCATATCACTCGCGTGTAGAAACACGATCGTTCCTAGAGCAATAACAACTAAACTTTTTACGCGTCGGAAAGAAACAGAGGAAGAAAAATGTAAAATTCGATAAGAGCACCGAGCTTATCTACCGAGTTTCGAGCCTTAATGAAGAGAAGAGAGCAAGATGAAAGGGGACCGTGATGTTTCTCTAACGTCGATTTCGTCAATCCTCTCCCACTTATCTCTCTTACGTTACGTTACGCCTCAGAAATGGGTCAGCGGAAAAAATTAGTATGCGCGATCGACTAACGCCGCTCCAATTTTTATCAATAGTATTTTTTACACGACGCAAAACACTGGTGAAAATGAAACGCGTAATATATATAGTCGAATGTAATTATACGCACGAATCGGCCGCACCGAAACAACAGAACCAACATGAAAGACGAACAAATTGAACGTGCACGGGTCATCGAGCAACGATCGTTCTGCCCACGTTTTACCTTGAACTTCCCATCGCATCGCGAGCACTCTCGAGCAAAACAATTGCCTTTTTTTCGCGTCCGGAGACAGAGAATTGATATTCCTCGTAACAGAAGAATTTCCATCAACTACCACACGCTCGCCGGGTGCACGTACACGCTGGTCCCGTGGCCACGTGTTACACCGTTCCCGCATCGATATCCAGAGGCACAGAGGCAGAAGCAGAGGTACACGGGGATTCGTATACGAACGTGTTACGATGAAAACGATCGGCCGGGATCATGTTTTTATTCGTCGGCTGATCCGATCCGATCATGGGTTCATCGAGTGGGTAATAGAAGCCAATATAATCCTGTCCGGAAATAACTGCGTTCCCCTCTCTTTTGTTCACCGTGTTAAAAGGACGAGGCGTGTGCTCGCTCCGCGAGAGGAAGGAAGAAACGGAAATATTTCACCGTCCGCCGTTAATCTGACGTTCAAACGTACATGTGTGTATATATATATATATATATATATCTGTCTGTGACTCTCTTCTAATGGTCAAAGACATTAAGTTCCTAACTTTTCACAGTATTATCTGCCCCCACCCCCCTCCCCCTACGCGCACAGTTTATCATCGTTCCTCGCTTTATTATCTTCCTCGACGAGGACTCATCCCCAAAGCACACAGTACCGACGAGTACGAGTCCCAGCGATTCTCATTTCTGTCTCTTCTTCTTCTCCCGTACGTGTGTGTGTGTTTTTTTTAAATATCCCCTTTTCAACGCGAGCCTCGACGATATGACCGAGTTTTCGAGAAAATTTTGCGAAACACGGTCGGGTTGCCGGGTAACGGTATTCCATAGCCGTTAATAATATCCACGTTGTCTAACCATGGGGCTGGGAAACACCGGAAGGGCACGACGCAAGCCTTCCTAGCCGAAATTTCATAATTAGTGACTCGATGACCCTTTCCTTTGGAGAAGGAAAGACAAAATCCTTCCTTTCCGAGTTCGTCGTCGAGTGCCACTGGTCGTAAATAGATTATTCACGGGACAAATGGAATGGCGATAACGCGCTACGGATAAATAATTCCACCGTGATACGATCTATACACCGTGATATATCTATACATATGTGTAGATTGTTTCTGGTTGAGGCGAGAGATTTTCGTTGCTGCGCAGGGATCGCCGTGATGCGGGATTCAAACGGTAGAAAGTTAGGACAATACCAATGGAATGCGCCGTGGGTTGGTATTAGGACGCGATGGAAGGTACGGTAAATAAAGTTTTCCTAAACACCTTTCCCATTCAAAAGTAAGTCTCATACAGACCTTTTATAACGGAGAAAGGTGATTTATTTCGAGATACAATGGACAAGGTTCCTGTCGTAGCTCGAGTGAAAGAAATTTATATGTCCAAGAAAATCCAGGGTGATGGATTTATGTTTTTAATTATTCTGCTACATCCTCTCACGAATTTGTGCAAGTATGATTTATGTCGTAGCTAAAATCCTCGGTTACCCTTGCAACGAATTCCTTCGTACAGTAAAAAACTTTTACTGGCCAGGCAAATTTAAACCTTCGAATTGCAAATTTCTATACACTTAATGAGACTCAACAACTATTGCAAATACAGTGTATTCCTGTGAAATCTTAATCGATCGCTTTTACTCCAAATTGGACTGTGAACAGTATAGATTAAGAAGATCTCGAGTAATTATGAACGTTTAGAACTAAGTGACAAGGATAGGTGGCCTCTCATTGTTTATTTTCGCTTTGTCAATCAGCGTTCGTGATTTGAATAGCATCCAGCAGTTCGCGCGGTCGAAATTTAGTTTACCATTGAATGAAAGTGACAACTTGGTACTATAGCTCTGAAAGTACATGGTTATATATACAAATAATATATGTAAACGAGCAATTACGAGGCTGAAGTTCTTTAAATAAACGATCACACTGTTTTCGTGTCTAATCGATTACAAACGTCCAGCAACCGGACACAACGTTCTCTACATGCTACACGCACCATTTCAAAATCTTCCATTTGACACGATCGAAAATATAAATATACGGCCGCTGTACGACTTCAAAGTCAACTGAACGAATCAGCTCTACATTAAATCACACAGCCATACACAGCAAACGAACGCGGATATCGAATTGTGTTCAGGATAGTACAAGTTCGTTTTCTTTACTATTCCTTTCGATTCCTCTTCACTTTCGTTATCAATTGTCACGCACGTGCATTTTGCAAAATCTATCATCGGTCAAGCTCAATCATCGTAAAATCACATTCCTAAGATTTCTATTCAATCGAGAATCAACTGTCGTTCGTTCCTTGTGACAGCTTGACATAACGCGTACACGCGTGTTGCATTGTCAACGATTGTGAACGATTTTTTGGCTCGTATTTAGTTCACTAAAACTAAGAAAATAAGGAACGAACGAGGGTTGGAACGACACATCAACGGCCGATGACATAGTACTACGTATTTTCGTACACAGTTGAAGCATGTCCCGATAGCAAAGAAAAATTCCTTTCGTGAGATCTTGTCCTCCGTACAATATCAAAAAGTCCACGTTTCTCTGCTTGACGATTGTCGCGGAAATCACCGGCCGTGAACGTATTCGACGAAAACAAGTCGTCGATACCGACTGTCAAAGGAAATATCAAGAGGGAAGAAAATAGTCTCAGGACTCACCATTCGAATCGCTGCTTGTTAAACCCGGGGTTCCTGGACGTTATCCGATAAGAAGAGCGTCCCACTCGGCTCGGAGTCCTCGAAGCTGTCGATCCGCTTCTCGCGAGACGGGATCAACACTGTCACAGCACCAAAACAACGATTTGTATCGCGACGTTATCTTTGGTTTCGTTTAAAAGGACGGGGCGAAGGTAATAACGCGAACAATGGTCCGTACGGTGGTTTTCATTGCGTAGCGATCGATTTCACTGGGATCATGATCCACGTTCGAAACCAGTTTTGATTCTCGTCCCGGGGAACGGATGCACTCTCGAAAAATGCGGCTTGCGTCTGCGCACAGGCTGCCTTCTGTTCGATGCAGGCGTCGAGTGGCGACTGTCGTTTCTTCCGACAGTCGGCTGCTCCTGGCCTGTCCCTTCCCCCGCCCCGGCGGCATCGAGAGAGCCGACTACAACCGCGGATTTATGCTATTACCGCACCACTGCCACCCCCTATGCTTCACTGCGCCCGAGGTCTATGGCTACCGCTTCCCGGTGGCCTCTTCTTTTCAATCGGGACATCCGAACACCGTGCTTCTTCCTTCCTTCCATGCTGATTCCGTAATCGTCCTGAAAAAAAAAAAGAAAAAAGAAAAAGAACACCATTAGAACCAGCAGAAACGGTCTCTTACATTTTACATTTATCCGGTTATTTCCGACAGGATACTATAGCTGTTACTATCTATGTAGAATTTTTTTCATGTTTTCAGATAGGTTGAAATATTTTAATCCCTGACTGTGGTTGGAATCGTTGGAGCAGGAAATATTTGAGGCTTTATGAGATTGCTCAATTAAATGTTTCTAATTTTATAGAATGAAATGAAATGAAATATTTTAAATTTTTGGCACTTTAATGTATAATGTAATGTTTAATGTATAATGTAATGTTTAAATGTATAATGTAATGTTTAATGTAATGAGTTAAACAAATATACAATTTACGTGTCCATAAAACTTTTATGAAAAATTTCTAACAAAAAATAAAGCCATTACAAGCTTTCGTCTCGGAAATTTTCAAATAAATTTCATTTACCATTATGTGACTAATGTGTGTAATTAACTTGTTCATGTATCAACTAAGTAACTTGAAATTTATGTTAAGAATCATGTTCTGACCTGGCAAAATTGATTCAGGTATGATTTTCAGAGAACAGGTCAGAAATTTCGCGCAAAAAGATGTTTCTAGACTGACTGAGAAATGTACATATACAAAATACTAATAAATTATTATACAAGGTTATTATATGTATGTATATATAAATATAATTCTTATACGCTTATTCTTTAAAAATATTCTTTAAAATACGGAATGGCCTATAATACATCATGTAACTACACTAGGTAACCAAGCCTGCGAAATGGCCATCTGTAAATATTCAATTGTACAGTTAAAATTAAAGCACCATTTGGCTTTTACCTTGAATTTGTCTTCGAATCCCTTGCATAACAAAGGGTACACTATTGCCCAAAAGTATCTGAACAATTTTGACAGCTCTCGCGAATTAATACTAACCACCACATCTTTTTTGCAAGAAATTAACAAAAACAAATTACTTAACGACGATAATTGTATAATTGCTCTAAGAAGACAAGCAGTTCGTCACTAGTTTAAGAAAACTACCTCTACTGAGAATCGTTTGAAGTCCAAAATATTTATGAACGATAGTGTACACAGATCCCCGGGACTAGGTACTAATTCCTTAAACGAGTCTCCTAGCTCATTACGGTACCTACCTACCTACCTACCTAAACAATTAACTTACCTCTGACAAATTGCTTTCGAAGTTAGTAGGCTGCGTCGTCTTCTTGGAAAATCGTAAAATGCAATTTGTTCCTTGTGCCTTTGGTCATTGTCTCCTTTCGTTCCTTCCCCCTCGGCCGTGATCCTGAATCCTCCCTCGATGTCTCGGCAAATTTGTTCACCAGGGCACGATCTGGACATTCGGCGGACTTCGTTAAAGTATATATCTAGTTGGTACGGTGGCTGCAGGTCCGCGCGCTGCGGCTGCCCCCTCGGCTGCAGCACCCACACAGATCGGCCTGTCCGTGCGAAAACCGGCACGGCAGCGCGTGTGCACGCACGTGCGTGCCACGCCACGCGATTCCAGCCCCTGCGGAATAAATCAAGTGAAGAAAACCTGCCGGAAGGTATTAACGTTGGGGTCGGCTCACCCCGCGTGTTGTGTCCCTTCTCGCATCCCGGAGAGGGTTAAGCTGTGCCCCCGCCCGCCCTTATCGCGCGTCCCTGAAACGCCGTGTACTCCCAAGGGATCTTCTCGTCTGGATTTACTCGACTGACGAGCGCGATCCTGCTCGCTGAGCGACTAAAGTGTACTAGAGGGATAGCAGGAGCACGCGAGAGCTTGGCCCGACGAAGAGAAACGAAACGGGAACACCGGAAAGGGGATTGGAGGAAGGAGGACGGAGAACGGGTAATGGGAGCGTAGGGTGAGCGACGTTGGAGACAGACAGAGAGAGAGAGAGAGAGAGAGAGAGAGGGAATCTCTTATCAGAGGTCGCGCATGACGAGACAAGCTAATTGTGTTATCAGTGCAGAACGGACGCTGCCTCTATCCTGCTCGTCTCATCCTGGCCATCATCGAGAGAGCCGCCCTTTCCCAAGCGCCGCAAGCATCGGTGTTTACTTTGTAAACTGTGCTAACATGTGCCCTGACCGACCAAATAGCCTACACCACGTTCGTGCGCCGAAAATTGCAGCGGCGTGTAACGCGACAAATCAAACGACCCCTCCCGCCTCTTGTCTACGCTCTTTTTCGGCAATACACTACACACGTACATACGTGCATATATATATATATTGTACTTTGTTGGGATCCCTCCTTCTCGTTCGGCGACTCTGCTGCTTCCGCTTCCGCGTGTAAAGCGTGCCGTGCGTGTAATTAACAGCCAACATCTTGTTCCAGTCCTTTTGGATGACACTCTGTCATGGTGTTTTTTCATTGGAATGACACGCGCGTTTCTTGTAATTACTCGATCATGCCGGACGTTTTGTAAATATCTCGCCGTGTTTCGTTACACACGATTCGAAATTGTGTCTCCATTGTCACTGTATATGATCATGCGAAAGTTTTAACGAGACTAACGTTAAACTCCATAAGACGATCCTTGCAAGACGTTCGAATTTCGTTCAAATTGTTCGCGCAAGTTCGTATCGCCGTGCCTTCGGGCAAGCTCTGTTTATTCTGTAATAATACAAAGTTCGGCTAAGTAACCTGCAATAAGGGTGAAATTTCGCCGGGATGAAAGAGACGGGGTGGGGACATTACGCCGGCAACATTTTCTTACACGCGGGCTATTACAGTCGCGCGTATAAAGCCGCGTGGCTTGGGATTTCGTAAAAGAATCGCGGCGCGTAATGTCGACCATTATCGTAATCACTGTTATAAAAGTTTACCCGGCCGGTCAACTTCCTACGATGTTTCTGCTGCATTATATACCGATTATAGCGATTTAACGATACCTTGGCGTGGCGTGGCGTCTGTCAGCGTCATGTTCCTTTAGACGTGGACGAGGAAACGTTTCGTACAGGTCGAATCGAAGGGAATCGTGCCGCTCGGAGGAAAAAGGAACCGAATTATCTTCCTGGTGTCTACGTGTGTGTGTGTACGTGTGTGTGTGTGTGTGTAGTACGAGTTACGAGACCTCGTGGTCGCCGCCATCGGCATCGCCGCAACGCAGACGGCTCCATTTATTATTCTATTAAATTCGTAGTTTCCCATCGGGGGCCCACCCCTGCCCGGAGCTATCTCTCACTCATGACTTAATGCGATATTCATACCGCGAGAGGAAAGGGAACCAACTTGGGGTCCGGTCCATATGCTGGCTTGTAATTAAGTCGGATACCCGTTAGATCTTCCAATTTTTCCCTCCTTTTTTTTCTTTTTTCTTTTTTCTTTCTGTCAGTTACGCTTCTTCTCGACGACGAACTGGCACGATGTTATTTTCTTTCTTCGTGGCGAGTGAGTGTGGGTTCGATCGAAATTTTTACATGTTAGGAAACTTTAACGTTCGGCATTTATCTAAGGTAATCAAATCATTTCGGCTGCGCGTGTATTTTATGATACAATCGTAAATATACTAATGCTTCTTCGTTGCACAGAGTACTTTCCCGGCTTTGAAGCAAATACAATACTCTAAGACTTTATTTTGGAATCATTTCATCGAGTACACGTACAATCAAGTTTTTTAAAATGGCGAATCAAACAACACTCGTGTAATTTCATGATTATTTTAATTACGGTTGGTGATTTAAACTGGCCGAAAGATTTAAACGGCCAATTAATTTAAACGGAGCCGACGAAAGAATGGAGATTATTCAAGTAATAACATTCACCAACGTTATTATCGGTATGTGTAATTAGCGTTTCGGGCTGTGCGTGATACTATCATTTAGATAATCGATTTCGCAATGGACGCTGATTTACAATGACTTGTAATAATATGCTTAAACGTGCCTAGAAAATTTACGCTTATTACGTTACCAATTCGTGTCATATCTTATGCGCACGTATCTTTTATTATTATTATCCCGATAACGGCAAGAAGTTCTGAACTCTCAGGCTCTTAATCTCGACTTTTAGAATTGAAAATTCTACTTCAAACATAAAATTTCAGACGGTAGTAATTGACAATTTCTTAATGGCTTTCCGAAGGTAGTCATTCACAATTTCTTAATGACTTTCCGAAGGTAGCCATTCACAATTTCTTAATGACTTTCCGAAGGTAGTCATTCACAATTTCCTAATGGCTCTCCGAGGCAACGTTTAATCGCCAAAACTTAAATAGAAAGTCTTATTTTCCTGCTCCATCGCAGATTAATTGGCTTAATTAAATTTCTGTACCGATCTAAACTAAACCATCGTGTGCACGAGTATATCGCTGAAAAGAAGTTGATTCAAATTTCTAGCAAAAAGACGCCTCTAATTTACCTCGTCATATCGTAATCATTTATGCGATTTTTTTAACGACGTCGTTTGCCACGCGTAATATCGAGAAACACACGCGAGGCATCGTCGAGCAACCGTGTAAAATGAGCGCGCGTACGTAATATTAATTTCCACCGGCAACGAAACAATTCTCATCAACGTAGCTGTCCCGCAAAGGAGCAAGCTAGCATATAGGTCTGTAGAGTAACACCTAAATTAATAATTGCGTGTTCCCCACGGTAATTATGTGTGCACGCTAGTCGAACAGGTAGACGGGGGCGTGCAGGTAATTGCAGGCCGGGCAGGAACGGCTCTATACGCGCGATAATTGGGCCCCGTTTACCATAAAGTTCTCAAAGATCAATGTTTATTCTCTATCCTTTTGCTAATGCATCTCGCGCGATCAGATTCAATTTATTTCACGTGGGAACTGTCATGGAACTTGAGTTTCTCGATGGTACCTCTCTCTAGATGGCAGGCTGATTAACTCTACTTTTTATTAATTCCTTAATTTGATACCGATTGATAATCTACTGGGGAAAGCAACATTTGATTCTGTGATAATGGCAGACGTCAAGATCAGTTTAAAGAACAGTGTCAAACAATAACATTGCCTTTCAACTTACGGAGCTGATCAACGTAATGAACAATGTAAATATCAAAATATCGACCTCATAGTATGATACTATTTACTATGTAATTTGAAGTTAATTGGAGCAACTAGCTAATTAATCGATCATCTTCTGTTGCAAGTGTAAATATTAAAATCGACCTCATAGCATGATACTATTTACTATGTAATCAGAAGTTAATCAGAGTAACTCGCTAATTAATCGATCGTCTTCTTCTGTCGCAAGTAAAAAGAATTCTGAGATAACTAACAGTATGTCTTTCTGGCAGAACTCCTCGTTTCTGTCACTAATACACAATTTTTCTAGTCAATCTTTCCAAATTTCCTTCGATTCCTTCTGCAACCTTCGTTCGATCGTCGTCGAACCTCGTCCCTCCTCGAGTCGCGTCGGTGGTAGTTTCGATTCTCTCAAGGACTCGGCATAAGGCACGTTTCCCATAATGAATCCAAACTGGTAGGTACACGAGTACGTGGCAATGCAAAGGGGGAGAGGGGGAGGGGGAGGGCTCTGATAAGAGCGAGAGAGACGATGGAAGTAGGATGGCGGATAGCCGCGAGTAGCCTCTGTGATGTAACAGGTTCGGTGCATTAGTTTGCCTAAAAGGTTTGCGCCATCAGTCTCTAAATGTCCCTCTGTCGTTCCTCCGTCCAACCCTCTCTGTCTAGTAGTACGTGTCGTTTATAATCTCACTTACCCTCTGTCTCCGTTTCGTCGACGCCGTCCTCCAGGGAGAAGGACGGCAAACACCCGGGACCTGGCAGCACCGGCAGCAAGCGTGAGGACGGCCGCCACTGTAAATTAAGTGCGTTGCATTAGTGGAGTCCGGATGAGTTGGTGCACCGTGTTAATTCGCGCTAATGAACAGGTTATGAAAGTTTAATTGTCGGTTAGCCGGCCGGAAGATCGACGGGGGGGAAGTGGGGGAGGATGAGAAGGCCTGAGGAAGCTTTACAGAAGTTCGCAGAAATTCGAGGACCCGAGGTCGTGGCTCGGTGCTCGGGGCAAACTCCTCTCCGGCGATGCACGGTGTACTTGTTGTACTTACTGTACACGAGCTCACGTACTACGGTGCTCTCGATCTACGAACGAGATGCTGAATTTTTAATTGCGCCCAACGAGAACCGCCGTTTATACTCGCTGCTGCTCTCGATCCTCTCCTTACCTCGGGTGTAATTTTAACTTACTGGATTTTGCACCACGGCGCGCGTACACATACCGGTGGATGGTAATTGGGTACGCCGTGGTCGATTGAAAATTAAAAACATGCACGCTTGATTAATTACACAACCGTAATTTTGCGAAAATTGGTGCACTGATGTGGATAAAACTGAAATTGAAAAATTGTAGAAAATTTAGAGAAACGCTGATCTTATTACCTACTATTGAACGAGCCGTCGAAACTTAAACCATACTTTAAAACAAAAATGAGAAATAAAATGTATCCATATAAATAGAAATTAAGCTATTTCTTTTTAATTGTAACTTTCAAACTATAATTTGATTGATAATTTCCTTCGTAACTTGATTCAATTGCGTTTCGTTACCGAGACACAATCGCAACTATTTTTAATATTGAAATTTCCTTTTTTTCTGCCAGGAGCAAAACGAACTTCGTTCGCGCAAAAGTACGAGTTCGGAAGAATACGTATCGTGCTTTTACTCAAGACCTTGTATCGAAAAACGAACGATACAAGTGCAAAAGGTATCCGTTCGAGAGATTGTGCAACGTGCTTTCTATTCTCGCTATTTCATATTATCGATCGGCTTCCAGCAGCCGGCCAGGCTTATTTCGTGATTAGCGATCGCGATTTGTGGTCGGAGCAATCGCTCAGAACACGCCGGTGTGCCTCGTGCCATTCTTTTGCTTTCTCGTGTCGCGGTGCACATAAACTGTCGCGTTTCAATGCGCGTGCAGAAACCGCAGCAAAATATTAAGAGGTGCGCGCGTCGAGAAACACTTTTCCGCTGGCGCAATACATTTACCTAGAATGGAGCGGCGTGATTATCCAGAGTATCAAACTTCAGGAATTCCGTATTTGATGGTGACACAGTTTCGAAGCGTGATAATTTTCTTAGACGAACGTACATAAGTATAGTGAAATATTCGCGACAGCCTATAAGAATACGTACAAATGTAATGATATCGAATGAAAGGTATCGATGTCACGCAACATCAAGCGTAAAATACATTTCCAACTTTCATTTCTTCATCAATATCTGTGGAAATGTGAATTTTCATCAACGTCTATTTTCATTTCTTATGGTTATAAAAATTGAAAATTAAGAAACTACTGGAAATATTGACTATTTTCGTTTCGTGTAATTATAAAAATTGAAAATTAAGAAACGCACGAATTTTTCGTATGAAACTTTCCTCCACTCTCCTCTTTCTTCCTGACGGTCATTCCATCTCTCGTGGACCTGCTGAATGTCAAAATATTCTTGCGGTTTATTTTCATATTCGTTAATTACGTCTACCGTAACACGTATCCCTCTTCCGCGGTGAAAAGCAGTAAGAAGCCGGCGTACTCTGATTATTCGTCACGCGGCGAACTCACGTTCTCCAGCTTGCTTCACAATTTGCATCTCTCACTGTCAAAGCGAGGCGAGCGAGATTTCCAAGCGAAACGAGCAGGCCTCCTCAATCTTGTCTTACCGCTGCGGATCCTAGACAGTGGTGGCTCTGTGCGTTCCCGGTGTTTCTGCTTGGTTTCACTTCTCAGGATTTCCTGTTTCCTGCGACGTGGATGACCCTGCCGAGCCGCGGTTTGCCATGCTCGCCAAGCGGATCGCGTAATGCGAGGGGAAAGAAAGAAAGAAAATAAGCGAACGAGCGTGGAACCGCTACGAGGGAACAGAGAAATCGCCAGAAATCTCGGAAATAAAGAGACTAACATTTTTTTCCCTCGTTGTCCGATCGTTCGTCGCGTGAATCGTAAGTTCCTTTTGCTCGATAATCGTAGTTACCGTAGTTAATTGGATCGAAAATGAGCCATCCTTGTCACGATACTGTTATCTTTTCAGTTTCGTGCTGGTAATAGACAATTTTTATTTCTCTTCTATCACGTTTCTTTTTAGTAGTAATTGCGAATCTCGCGTGACTCTTGAGTATAGATACAAATATCTATTTTACAATATTTTAGTAAAATAACAATTTTAGTAAAATACAATATTCTAGTAAAATTGTTATTTTATCAAAATATTGTATTTTAGTAAAATTGTTATTTTACCAAAACATTGTATTTTACTAAAATAACAATTTTACTAAAATACAATATTTTGGTAAAATAACAATTTCACTAAAATACAATATTTTAACAATTTCTCTACTATTTTAGTAAAATGACAATTTCTC